AATTAAACAAATGTTGGTCCAAAATGTGATTTCCCTATATAAACTATAGTAAAGTTTACCCCCTCCCCAGGGGGATACGTGAGACCCCAGGGTCATGAAATTCACAATTTTGGTAAAGCACCTTAAGACCCTTCCATCTATGAAGAGTATTTGATTCTACCATATCTGGGTCTTTAGAAGAAGATTTTTGAAATTTTAGTCAATTTTACCCTTTTTGGCCCCGCCCCTCAGGCCCATGGGGGCTGGGGACCAAACCGGCCACCAGTTTTGTTAACCTTTGGCCATGGAAGGTTTCTGCAAAATTTCATTGAAATTGGTTCAGGAGTTTTGGAGAAGAAGTTGAAAATGTAAATTGTTTACGGACGCACAATGGACGACGGACGACGCTGGACAAAAGGCGATCGCAATAGGTCACTTGAGACTTTGTCTCAGGTGACCTAAAAAGAAAATGTAGAGGACACCAAAGAGCATGCACCCTGTATAGACTTAAGTTTTATTGGCAAATATGCATCTAGGTTTTATACAGTAATCCCATATATATACTCACTGACCTACAAGCAATGAAGGAAAGGAGTTTCATTTTGACTATTGAAATATGTGGTCTTACCTGGTCAGAATACTGATGGTAGACTTGAACCTCATCAATTCCTCGGTCAGTCTGCGATCCAGGGCTCTTTGGGCCATCACTTCCTCATGTAAACTACAACACATTACACACTATAGTTAGCAGTTTACCCCAACATCCCCGTCATCTCATAACTCGTACACTGGACACAGAATCTCGGGTTGGGACATACAGTAGAGATTATTATTATACCTCTACTGAGTTTTCCCTATATAAAAACAATACGATAAAATCTGCTATTTCCCTTAAATCACTAAAATATCTCCATCCGAAAGCTACTCCCTCCCCAAATTAGGACTACTCCCTGCAAAAAAGGACTACTCCCTGCCAGAAAGAGGACTACTCCCTCATGAATATTTGTAGGTTGAGCTTATAAGATTTCAACCAATGAAAACATTGGTAGGCGGGGCCTTCTCCGTGATGCTCGTGACGTGACATTTTCAGAACCAAATGACAACAGTGAAAATGGCCACCGATGA